ATCCCTTATCCCGTTGTATTTTTCCCTTTTCTGTCCCATGTGTCTTTTTGCCCACCTCCACCTTTCATTAACATCTGGTTTTTCCCGCTTTTGGCCTCCTTTCTAGTTTCGTAGGCCTTTCCCACACCATACCCATTTATGTATACATGTATTCTTTATCGGCCAAGATCTGCACTTGAGCATGTGGTTTTTGTCTGAGTCTGGGTCTATTAATTTTCCTGAATATTTCATCATTTCATTTTTCTTTACAGCTGAATGAAATTTCATTGTGTGTATGCATTTTCATTGTCCACTCATCTGCTGATGGCCATCTGGCCTGGTTCCATGTACATCTTATCATGAATAGAGCAGCGATAAACACGGATGTGCAAGTTTCTTTGTCATAGGGGATGGAGAGCTTTGGGTACAGGCCTTATTTTTTATTTATTTTTATTTTTTGGTCTTTTTGAGACAGGGTCTCCCCTGTAGCCACAGTTGACCTGGATTCGCTATGGAGACCAGGCTGGCCTCAAACTCACAAAGATCTGCCTGCCTCTGGCGCCTGAGTGCTGGGATTAAAGGTGTGCACCACCACGCCCAGCCTTATGTTTAAAAAAATCACTGCAGATCATATTGTACAGATCCTGTACATAGCTCAAACTCTGCTGGCTGTTCCCAATGCCAGTTTCTGTGCACCATGGTCCCTGAAAACACTCCCCACAACCCTGCCTTCTAACTGTCTTACTCTGGCAGAAGAATGAAGTTTCTCTGCCCACCATTGGTTTTTAAGAAAATTCTGACATTTTAATCATTAAATTAATTCAAGTAAGCTAGTTTAACTTTAATTTAGAAAACAAAATAATGAAAAGAAGCTGATTGGTCAAATCATATCCAAATCCCATCAGGCACCATGAAAAATTGTGCAAAAGAGACAATAAAATAAAAATAGGGACTGGAGAGATGGCTCAGTGATTAAGAGCACTGGCTGTTCTTCCAGAGGACCTGGGTTTGGTTCCCAGCACCCACATGGCAGCTAACAACTGTCTGTAACTCTAGTTCCATGGGATCCTATGCCTCTGTGGGTATTGCACACATGGGTGCACTTAACTACATGCAGGCAAAACATTCATACTCACAAACTATAAATAAAAATAGCTGTAAGGGCCGGGCGTGGTGGCACACATCTGTAGTCCCAGCACTTGGAAGGCAGAGGCAGGCGGATCTCTGTGAGTTCAAGGCCAGCCTAGTCTACATAGTGAGTTCCAGGACAGCTCAGGCTACAGGGAGACCCTGTCTCAGAAAAAAACAAAAAAAAAAAAAAAAAAATAGCTGTAAGGGAAGAGCTTCTGCAGAATTTTGCCTGTGCCCTGAAGCTCAGCCATTTCTGTATTCCAACAGCACAAGACAGGATTACTACTCAGCCTTTCTCAAAGGGCCTCATTAAGTATCATTGTCCAGACAGTGGGAATCAGTGCAGAAGGCTAGAAGAAGGGTGCCACATTCTTACTCAATCTCATCATTTAAGGTGACTGCCATTAAACTTGGATACAAAGATACAGGCCAAATACAGAGACTGCTCACTGAAGAACGACATAACCCAAGTACTCTCTGCCTTAGTTCTTTCCATATGAAATGACTGAAATGGATCCATATGGACCGGTGTTTTAAAAATATTTATTGCATCTACTTATTTGGGTGGGAGGTGGAGGGCATGTGCAAGCCACAGTGCGTGTGTGTGTGTGTGTGTGTGTGTGTGTGTGTGTGTGTGTGCATGCACACAAGTCAATGGACAACTTGCAGGAATAGATTTTTTATTTTCTCCTTCCACCATGTGGGTCCTGGATCAAACTCACAGCTCATCAGGCTTGGCAGCAAGTGCCTTAACCTATTGAGTCTTTTCACCAAGCCTAGAACTATGTTTCTAATGAAGTTAGTGTGTGTGTGTGTGTGTGTGTGTGTGTGTGTGTGTGTGTGTGCATGCACACAAGTCAATGGACAACTTGCAGGAATAGATTTTTTATTTTCTCCTTCCACCATGTGGGTCCTGGGGATCAAACTCAGCTCATCAGGCTTGGCAGCAAGTGCCTTAACCTATTGAGTCTTTTCACCAAGCCTAGAACTATGTTTCTAATGAAGTTATATCCTTAATGCTATGATCACCTTAAAATGCCACCAGCACTACCCAAAATGCATAGTTGTGTGAATTTAGGTGTTGATACTGATGACACATGCACACACCAAAATGGTATGAAAAGGTTTATTATTGACATACTGAGACTTTCCAGGGAGATACAGCAGGCTCCCAAGTGGGTCCAGAAATGGTTTAACTGGCTTAACTTTTATTGTTCATGGGATGAGAATGGGTAAAGGCTGCTACCTGCAGGCCAGGGTGTATGTGATTTCAACTTCCTGCTGGGGCCAAAGCAAGTCACAGGCCTTCCAAGATCTTGTTGCACAAATGTGATGTCTTGGGGCAAAATGAGGCTTTGAAGGTATTCAGCAACCACATATCGAAAGTGGATTTGGAGTCTTTAATGCAGTCAAGTGAACTATAACGCTGGCCTGGAAAAGCCTGCTTAATTCCTAAGGCGATCTAGTCTATTAAATCTGCACCAGAGGACAGGTGGCAGATAAGGTGGAATGCCCCTCAAATTTTTGAATATGGCCATGGAGTGGAATAGCAAGAATTCCCTAGAGTTCAAACTAGGGGCCATAGAGAAAACAGACTGGAGAATTTCTCCCAGGAGGAGATCAGAGGTACAACTAAGAGGGCCCTACTTCCCGCTAGCCATGCTCAGCAGACTGATCAAGGTATGGGCCACTAGCTACTGTCCATCTCTTTCCACTTTGACTGTAGCATTCATTCTCCTCTTCCTCTCAGTAACAGAAGCTTTCCCCAATGGAGCTTTTATAGGGCACATGTCTAGCTGCAGATAACATGCCCAAGCACCGCTCAAAGCCAGGTAGAGCTAAGCAGTAAATACTGAGAGAATGCACAACGGGGAGAAGTGCTGAGTAAAAGTTCCTTAAAGGCAATAGCTTTCTCCCACGTCCTTTATTTTGTAGGTTGCAAAGTACACGTGCTGCTTCTTTGAGACAGCACTGACCACAGAATGAACAATGACTTTGGTAATAAGAGAACAGTAAGTAGAAGAATCCTGAATCAGCTGGCCTATCTTCTCTCAACTTATCATCTGCTTCTGGATTGCCAAGGAAGAGGATAGACTTGCACCTTACATAAGCATCCTATTTTGGGGTTTGTGTTAGAGCAGCTTGGTCCACTTTCAAACATATACAAAAAAAGAATGAAAATATTAAGATGTTAAGTTTATCTTTTATGACCTTAAAAGAGCCTCTCCTGGCTAAAGCTTTGGGTTTTTACCTTTAACAAGTATAAATAAGGAGCCTCAAATTGAAATGGCTGTAAGCAAGCAAGACCCTAAAGTTACATGTGCCTTCATGAATTCAGTGTGCTTATCCTCAGTCTCAGAAACCAACTTAAAGGGTACAGTAACAGGTATACTCTTTAGGCCTAAATGGAAACATTCAGTTGACATAAATGGTAAGTATCAAGTTGATAAATGAAAACTCAGATGGATACATGTTAACTTCCTTTTATTCCAACATAGATGTGTGTCCACCAGCTGTTAAGATTTTATCTGTTCTCTGTAATCAGCTAATCATAGATAATTGGATGAAGATAAAATAGACTTCATCTCCTTCCATGTGATGCCAAGATGATGATTTTCTGATTCCTGGTGTCGTTCGTTACTCGGCGCTTCAGAATAGTTCTGTGTTGCTAAGACAACAGGGGTACTGCAACAGAAAACTGGGACTGAAGTCAAGGCACTGTAGCTGCCTCAAAGGATGTCATAAATAGTGTTCACAAGGCCTGTTCACAGTGAAACCTACAGCACTTCAATCAGAAAAAAATGATCACATTCCTCCAACATGCTTCCAGTGGACCATGTTGCTCTTGTTGGCTTCCATTCTAAGCTGAAGAGAGCATTGGTGTGTGGACTGAGAGTGAGGAAATCATGATTTCACTTACAGTTCTTAAAACCCTGTGGAAATAACTGAGGTGAATCTGTCCTTAAATTCCAACTTGCCTTTACTCTAATAGCAGCATGTCTAAGTGTGAGAAGGAAGCAAACCCCGCACTGTGCTGTCAGCTGTTTCTCCACTTAAAGTGTGTACCTCGTCTAAACAAGGTTTGATTCTGGGTGGTAAACACCCAGACATCTGCTGAGACCCACTACTATTTGGAATTTGAGTCCATGAACAGACGCAAAGGTGATGGTCTCTTTGATGCACTTTTAAAGGCACAGAAAGCTCAGCAGCAACAGTGGGGTGAACCAGGCTGCATTTCCAGCTCTGTCCCAGCAAACTGAACAGCTGCTTTAACACCCAGAACATCAAGGCAAGGACAAAGGAAAGGAAAACAAAATGCCTGAACTGACTTTGTGTTCTGACATAAAGGGGAGGGGGGAGAAGAAATGAAACATCATTTAACTATAAACTGAAGAGTGTCTTCATGTCATGGAGATCACAGAGAGATACAATCTGCTAAAAAATAACATTAATGAGGCTGGGGATGTGGCTCAATGGTACAGCACTTGTCTAGTATATGCAAGGCCCTGGGTTTAATCTCCAGCACTCCAAAGGAATGAATAAACAGCATAAACAGAAAAATAAGAGCTCTGTGTACTCAGAGCTGGGACAGACCTTCTTCCGAATCATGTCCCTCTCTTAAGAAGTCATCTGACCAAAAATAATGGCTAGGCAAAGGCAGGCAGTGTGGGGGGGGGTCTATTTTCTCAGTCTTCGAGGGAAGGAGACAGAAGTGGCTGGAGATGGAGTTACCACTGTAGAACTCCTTTTCAAGCAAGAGTCACGATACTGTTTAATCATGGAAACTGAAGGTAATACAGTAAGGTCAAGGGTTCTGCAGGAATCCTTACAGTCAAGTAAAAGTTTAATCTAGCAGAGTCAAGTGAAAAGCATTAGACCCTTTTTTTAATACCCTGGTGATCTAAGCATAAAAAAAGGAAATAGAAAATAACACAGACCACTGTATTTTAATATTTGTAAGTAGCATAAATCATAATGGTTTATATACTACACTATACAAATAATATACTGTTACTTTCCAAAGAAAATCAACTTTTATAGGGTTTTCTGAACAGTTACTCCATACAGCTAAGAGCTTGACCCTCTAGCCATCGCTACAGCACGTGGAATGCAGGTGATGCAGTTCCAAGTCTTCCAGCTGTGCCTGTTTTGCTGCCACTGAGGGAGGGGCCTCTTGGAGACCTGTTTTGTGGCCCCTTCCATCTCCTGCACCACCAAAGGCAGGCTCTCAGGTAGGTGAGTGCTGACCAGGCAGCCTCTGTGCTTAGCTTCCCACAAGCCTCCTCCCTGTTAGGAGAACTTGCGCTTCTTCATGGCTTCTGCCTTGACTGCCAGGCTTTTGGCACAGATGGTCAGGACCACGATGAGAACACCCACCACAAACGTCACCACGGGCCAGAGGAAGCAGTGCAGGAGGACAATCTCATCATGTGTGCGATGCAGGAGGACGTCTTCTGGTCTGCAAGGGAGTGGAAGACAGGAAAAGTAGAGCAGTTAACCTCTCAGCATGGCATCCATCATTCTACAGTCTGCAGCCAAGCTTGCTTTCCAGCCCAAGGGAATAATCATTCACCCTTGAAAGCAAGACCTCACTTTGATTATAGATACCACATTTTGTGCTTCAAATCACTTCCAAAAGCTCTTGAATCAAGTAATTGGTACAAATTTACACATCATTTATCATAGCGTTTCATGTTGCAAAATGTCAAAGATGTAGCAATCCTTTTCTATTATTTTCCTCCATTCTAAATTGCTTACCATGTTCTTTCACACTCATCCTTTAATACCCCTGACCAAGGGACTTGGACAGCCCAAAATTTACTGATGGGTGAGTACTATCTAACAAACATAAGCTTAGTCTTAGCACTTAGGTAGATCCCAAATGATCTTAATTCGGGTTGGGGAGTCAATTAAAGCCCTTACTAAAATTAGATTGATACATGGTATTGTTCATAGGCATGTCCAACCTGTAGCCTGCTGGTCACATGCATCCCAGGATAATTGGGAATGCAGTCTAACACACTGGTATACCATAACATCATATCACAATGTCGAAAGGATGGACACCCATGCTAGCCCTAGTAGTCAATTGAGCTTTGAACTAAAGGTTTTATTAATAAAGCAGTGGATGAACTGAATATACTTCTATGTTTCTGTGTGGGACTAATCATCATTCTGAGCCACTGCTAAGTCTTGCAAGGTTTGGGGAGTAGATTCCTATCTTATCGCTGTGTTTCAGTTATACATTTGTCTCTGATAGGAAGGGAAGATGAGAAACACTCCACGTGCCACAGTCTCCCGTCTTTGGCAGTCAGATGCCTGGGAATTCAGCTTCCATAAAAGAGCCTGACATTTAATGAAGTGTTTGCACTCATAGGAGGGTTTGTGCTGTTATACTGCAGTAGTTGTGCTTCCATCAGAAAGAGGAGGTAGAAAAATAATCAGTCTCATGGTCCTGAAGAACATCAAAGGCTTTGGAGTTCAAGGGCAGTGCCTTTAACAGAGATATAGGTCTGGGAGGCACTCATCAGTCCCAGCTCTTGTAATTCTGAATCTGTTTTCCCAGAAGACTGATGAGGACACTGGGTGTTCCTCTTTTCCATATAGCAAAGGCCTCTTGGAGCATCAACAGAAACAGCTGTACACACCAGGTGTGAAATGACCTAACCCTTGCACTCTTATTCCTCTGGTGCATAATTTAAAATTTTACATGTAAAGTGGTTTTTACTGATATTTTATTGCACAGTACTTCAATGAAAATTTATATTAAATGAATGTAGACTATATGAGGCCCATGTCATCCCAGCTTGTAGAAATTACTCCAGTCACATCTTTAGCAACACCCTAGTCCTCAAGATGTGGGCTGCCACTGATTTCGAGGCACACATCCTTTTATCTCCTGTAGGAAGCAGCGGGCTGTGACACTGCCACTTGCCTGCGCGTCTACACAGAGCTGCTGCTAAATGACTGCTTGCGTCTGATAGGAGATGGGAGGGAGTTTGAATACAATCAAAATACACGCTATAGAAATTCTCAAAGAATCAATAAAAATATTATTTTAAAAAACTGCTTGCAACTGATGAAGAACCTGCCTGTACCGCAACCTGATGATTCATATACAGTTTAAAGAAAGTTTTTGCCTGGGGTCTGGTCTGAAGGCGTAGAAACCAGTGCAAAGACAGACCAGGCACGAGAGTCAGAGCCACATTTAGGGTCTGAAATGTGCATCTCCAGCACTGCCATGGATTTTTTCTCAGCTACAGGTGCCCAAAGATGGCAGATGACCTGTCTAAGTGTGCAAGAGAGGCTCTCAGCTGTCTCTCAGGATGATCTTTCTCTCTGGAAAACATTACTCTCCTCCTTCAGAACTACTGGTACAAATAGGAGATTTAGATTCTTCATCAAAAGGGTAAGATGTTCAGCAACATGAACACACTTAGGAACCATATACCAAAAATGGCCGCAAAGCAAAGAAAAAGAGATTTGGATTTTTATTAATATTTTAGTAAATGTACATGTAATTTCCATAAGTGATATGTTTTTATAACTAAATTTTCCTAGTAAAATGCTTCTGTGTAGATTCTCCTTTACATTCTTCCTCCAGTCGTTATTTAGGGTATTTGATGAATCCTTTATCACAATGTTGTGCAAATGAGCCAGTAAAACAGCTCAGACGAAGGGGGTTGGAACCACTGTACTTGCCGTCTGAAATGCAGTTTGAGGAACATGTACCGAAAAGAACGTGAGTGAAAGGGGGAAGAGAGCAGCACCAGAAAATGCTGGATACAGATGCTTGCTTTCCTTAGAGACTTTCTATAATTCTATCTCCTTCTTCCTGGGCAACACTCTTTTTTTTTTTTTTTTTTTTTCTTCTCCAAAGTGGCAAAATAAAATGACTCATTTGAATTGAACTTCAACTGCTTCTAAATTTTTTGAGGGAGAAAAATTCCATATTATTGTACATGCTTCTTTAAAAACCACGTATGTAGGCCAGGTGTGGTGGCGCATGCCTTTAATCCCAGCACTTGGGAGGCAGAGGCAGGCAGATCTTTGTGAGTTCGAGGCCAGCCTGGTCTACATAGTGAGAACCTGTCTCAAAAAGACAAAGCAAAAACAAAACCAACCACGTATGTTTGATCTATTTCATATAGCTCTAATATAACAGTCTCCTTTGACAGGAAAAACTTATTTCTCTGGTCATATTACTTACTGACATAACCTCTATATTTCTTCTTCTGCCCTAAGTTGGGCTCATCCCAAGGGGCTTCTAGTACCTTAACTGAAGGTTCCCCTCTGCCTCAGTCTTCAATTTCTTGCAGAGTGCTCGACCAAAACTATTTGGCTTAGAATCTACTTTTTCCATAGTTACATGGTGGAACTCACAAGGAACTTTGAATGTAAGGAGAAAAAAAAAAGGATGATTACTCTATCTAAGCACTTTAAAAAAGCAAATAAGAGGGTCCTTTTGGAGCATGCAGGATCTGTAATGGAAAGCACTTTAAACCCTGAGTGAGGGGCATGCATAAGTATCATAAACATAGAAGTGCTTCCATAACCTTGGAAAGTCCTTTAGGCAGCCAGCACTCACCTGAGTACAGCTCTGAAAGGACTATGCTGATAACCAGCAATTCTGTTGTCTGTTGTTTTCTTACCATCAGCCTTTACTGAATGTTTGCTACCTGCCAGGTAGTGTGGTAGTACATTTCTTCTTATGTGAGCCTTAAAATGACCTTGTGCTTGAAGAATTTTAAAGATATTGAAGCAAAGGAGTTTGCTAATTAGTTTTCCTAAGCTCACACAATTTAAAAATAATAACACAAGGACTTACACTGCATGTGTATGATTTCTAAGCCTGTGCTGTTTTACCTAATTTAAGCCAGCTTTTCTCAAATCAGACTCAACTGTGGCCCTTCTTTCAACCCCTCCTTTACTGGAATCTGAAGTTGTGGAGTCCAGACATCTGCATTTTTTAGAAAATCTGGAGTAATTCTCTATATACTTGTTCCAGAAGGACTGTATAAAGTTCTAATAATAAAAGAATTGAAGTGTGTACCACAAACAGCCTAATTCTCATTGACGCTTAAGTCCAGGTAATTTTCATGGCCTCTACATGCTTTTATGTAGAATGTATACTACTTATGAATGCTTACTTACTATGTGGCCTTACAGGGCCCACTCATTGGTACCCCAGGATAAGATGGAGATCTGGGAAGGAGGAGGCAAGTATGGGTTAGGAGAAGGGGGCTCAGAAGTAGAAATACACACCATGGTGTGAAATTTGCCAGAGGAGGTCTTTTGTTATAACTGACAGAAAGATACCCTATAGGTCAACAAGCAGTACTAATCAAATGATTTTAAAAGGCAGAGCTTTGGTGTACATCACCCTAAATATAGAAAATATATTCCCTTTGACTTTGTCTCACCAAACGGTAGAGCTTACACTCCATAGTAGGTGTTCTCTTGGCCAGTACGGAAAGAAAAGTTTTTTTGCTATATAAATTATAATCAAGAATTTCTTAAATTTTAACTGTTCATATCAAAATCTGGACAGAGGCTGGGAAGATGGCTTAGTTGGTAAAGTGCATGCTATGCAAAAATGAGAATCTGAGTTCAGGTCTCTGGCACCCATGTAAAAGCTGAACATGGCTGTACAGACAGGTAACCCTGGCACTCTACAAGTGAAGACAAAGGTGGATTCCTGGAGCTCACTGGCCAGCCAGTGCAGCCAATCAATGAGCTCTGTATTCAATGAGAGATGCTGTCTCAAAAGATAGGTAGAAAGCGATAATGGAAGCTATCTGGTGTTGACCTCTGGCCTCCACTTGCACATGCACACGTGTATCTACAGTCACACAAATACTATACATGCACACACAGATACTACATACAAAATCCAAATAGCACTATAGTTTATAAATACGGCATTATGGACATTGGACCAATCAAGAGACAGGATAATCCATTTCAGAGAACTTTCTCCATGGATCCTGCACGAAACAAGACACTCTGCTAGACTTACAATCATAGGTACTTCTCACTTCCTAAGCACAGAAAGAATTCTTATGGAAGCTGCTACAAAGTTGAGATCTGGGCCCATTTTAGCCAGCGATGTAGCATTCTTATGCCAACAACACTTCACTTGCCTTTTCTTTCTCACACATTTGTAGTTGATCTTGCTAAATCCTCTCAATTTTTTTCCCCTATTTTGTGCTGGGGATTGAACCTGGAGCTTTGCATTTTCTATGCGCATGCTCTGCCACTGAGCTCACTGCCCTCAACCTGTGGAAGATGAGTAACATTTACACATCAAGCTTATTACAAACCAGTAGGAACCTCTTAGCTGTCCACACTTACTCATATTTCCACGAGAAATAACACATCATATTATCATTGTAGGTGCTTTCATTTCACGCCTTTAGTGAAATTTTATTTAAAAGTCTAACAATGTTTCATCATTAC